TTTCTGTTTCTATGCCAATACCATGCAGTTTTTATTACTGTTGCCCTGTAGTACAGCTTGAGATCGGGAATGGAGATACCTCCAGATGATCTGTTGTTGTACAGGATCGTTTTGGAGATTCTGGGTTTTTTGTTTCTCCATATGAAGCTGAGAATCTTTTTTTCAAGATCTGTAAAGAATTGAGTTGGTATTTTGATGGGAATTGCATTGAATCTGTAGATTGCTTTTGGCAGGATGGCCATTTTCACAATGTTAATCCTACCAATCCATGAGCACGGGAGATCTTTCCATCTTCTGATATCTTCTTCAATTTCTTTCTTCAAAGACTTGAAGTTTTTCTCAAACAGGTCTTTCACTTGCTTGGTTAGAGTCACACCAAGGTACTTTATGTCATTAGTGGCTATTGTGAAGGGTGTTGTTTCCCTAATTTCTTTCTCAGCCTTTTTGTCTTTGGTATACAAGAGGGCTTCTGATTTTTTTGAGTTGATTTCGTATCCTGCCACTTTGCTGAAGGTGTTTATCAGCTGAAGAAGTTCTCTGGTTGAATCTTTGGGGTCGCTCATGTATACTTTCATATCATCTGCAAATAGTGACACTTTGACCTCTTCCTTTCCGATTTGTATCCCCTTGATCTCCTTTAGTTGTCTTATTGCTCTGGCTAGGACTTCAAGTACAATGTTAAAGAGATATGGAGAGAGTGGGCAGCCTTGTCTTGTCCCTGATTTCAGTGGGATTGATTTAAGTTTCTCTCCATTGAGTTTGATGTTGGCTATAGGCTTGCTGTATATTGCCTTTACTATCTTTAGGTATGTGCCTTGTATCCCTGATCTCTCCAAGACTTTAAACATAAATGGGTGTTGGACTTTGTCAAATGCTTTTTCAGCATCTAAGGAGATGATCATGTGGTTTTTTGAGAATTCTTTATCATTTTAGATAATAATAATTTGAGCATGAGGTAGTTTGTGTATATCTTCTCTCAGTCTACAAACCCCTTTAACATTGTGTTTCAAAGGGCAAAAGTCTGAATTTTCTTTGGATTAATTAAGTGTTCTTCAGTTTAACTCACTGTTTCAGCCTCCTTTAAAAACAATAGAAATGAGCTTCATCCCTCATATATACTTAAACATCTGATTTTTAAACTTAAGTGTCTCTGTGAATTAATTTTCATAGTACCTTTTCAAACATTATTTCCTATAAATATAAGAAATGTGGCCAATCTAGTTAGGTCTGGCTTTTCTCCTTCAACATACACAGTCCTTTTTTTCTTTCTTATACTGCAAGACAAGTTCAAGGCTCATCTAAAGATTCGAATGTGGCATGAATTTGTCTCTGACATCTATCACTTGCTAGTGGAATCCTTTGACTTCCTATATTCTGTAGCCATATGCCATTTGTTACACTTGGTTGCCAAAAAGTAAATCTTAAAAAAAGAAGGTATATTTAAGTTCAAAAGTGACCAACTACATCTGTATCAGGCTCAGTTAACCCCAGTGGTTGAGAATAAGACCACTACTATATTTTAAAGCCAAATTTGTAGCAAGCCTTAAATAAATATTAACCAGGTGGATGGGCTCTAGCCAGGTCCTTCTCTGTGTTCCGAGAAAATGGTCCCAATCATGTTTTGCAGGACCTTTAAAAGCAAAGCCCATAATTTACCACATTTCCCATTAGGTCTGTACCTCCTGCCTACATCAATGAGGGGCAACTGTACATTCTGATGTATTTTCTGCCCATGTACCTCCTACTCACGTGTGATCAAGCACTTGTGCAGTGCATATGGGCCAAACAAACTTGTTTAAGGGAGTGAAAACATAAATAGCCTCCAGAACTTAACTTTGGTTCTCATATCCTTGTTATATACTAAATGAGAAATAAGACAGGCTGTGCTCCAACTTTCATGGAACTCAGAGAAACACTGTTAAAAGTGATTCTCAACCAAGAAATAAAAATTCATACAGGTTGAGGAAAAATTATTCTAACCAATAATGTCATAAAAGTTGAGATAAATCTATAAAATTATTTAATCAAATGTATGAAACTAAAGTGATAGAAAATGTTCATTGTACTATTATAAAATCCTTTATAGAACTGGATGTCATGGGGCATTCCTGTAATCCTAGCATTTTCAAGACTGAGTCAGGATCTCAAGTTCAGGCCAGCCCGGGTTACATACTCTGTTTCAAAAACCTAAAACAGAAAGGTTTCATAAAATCTATTTGAAGAAGAGAAAAAAAAAATAACACTGAGTAGTTGTTAGAATCTGCTTTATTTTTAGTTTTAGTACTATTATTTTTTAATTAAAAATTTATTTATGTATGGGTGTTTTGTCAGTGTATGTGTTTATGTACCACATGCCTGGTGCCCAAGGTGGCCAGAAGAGGATGTCAAATACTCTAGAACTGGGGTTACATTTGACTGTGAGCTGCTACACAGGTGTTGGGAATCAAACCCCTGATCCTCTGCAAGAGTAGCCAGTGCTTTTAGCCACTGAATCATCTCTTCAGCCTTTTATTATTATCATTTTTAAATTGGTTATTTAACCAATTTTTTTTACACAAAATCAATGCTACTATGCAGCCACAATCTCAGATATCCTCTCAGTCCTAAAGGTGGTCCTGTAAAGAAACTTTCACTCCTCTCAATTCAGAGATAGCAAAGCCAAAGGCCTCTAGAGGACAGTAGTTACTTCTAGCTGACATGGTTCATACATGTCCAGACTTGAATAGGATTGGCATCAAGTGCTTGTTTTCTGTTCCATTTTTTTATATTGCTAAGTTTATGCCTTTAGAGCCTAGTTCTACTCTGAATTTCCAAGAATTCCAAGCGTTTATATTCAATTTAAAGTCGTAAAAGCTACTTTAAAGTGTGTATACCCTTTAAGTATGCACAAAGAGAGAACAGGTAACAATATCCAACCATCTGAAAATGAGCCACAACTTATTTCTCTTCACTCAAAGGACTTTTTGTTGAATCTGTGCCAGGAACTATTGTCCTTATTTTTAGGAATTAATAAGCCTACTGTCAAACATAAGCAGATCAATAGGTGACTAACATATAATATGCTAGGTACATGACAGCTATCTAGAAATTAAGGACATGAAGCTGTGGCTCATTTGTTGACTGGATGTATCTGGTAGAAATATTATACAATTATTTGTGTTTGTACTGTACCCTAAGGATAGCCCCACAAGTGACCAGTCTGACATAGTCAAATAAGTGTCTTTATTCCAGTCAGCGGGGACCACATCCAAGTGTTTTTGAACCTAGGTGTGACCCCAAGTATCCAGAACATCAGAACATGTGTTTTTAAGGGCCTTCACAGAATTAAGTAGTTTGAAGCAAACAGTTTAATAGAAGTTGAGATAAGCAGTTAACTGCCATACAAACAGGCAGTTTTAACAAAAACTAAGGTAAGTTACGCTGGATATCCTGACCTTTGGTTCTTAGAAGAGAGTTTGGGTAGTTTTTCATGGGATTCCTAATCAAGGAGATCAAATTCTAGTTTGAAATGGCCTCAGCAAGAATACAAGATGAAAGAACCTTTATAACATCTTGCCCTGTAACAGTACCACTGTTATTGTCAAGGATGTTGTTTGTTTTAAAAAACAAAACAAAAGCAAAGATATTCATGATCTGTGTTCAAAGTACTACGTCTGGTCCTGACAATATTAGTAGGATTCAGGGGGTAAGTATATAAAATGATCAAAGATAGAATGACCTTCATGATATCAGTAGAAAACCTATGTAGGAACAGAATGTTCTGTCTCTAGCAGGAAAGACTTCAAGATGTTTTGACAATCATTTATTTATTACATTTTTCTGAGCCTGAGTTATTTTAAGGAAGTTATAAATAGTAGAAACTCAAGAGGTTTGATTTGTAATATCTTACCTAGAACAATTAAAACAAAAACATACAGCTCACAGGGTATTTCTGTCCTTGGGACTCTGCCAAAAGTATTCTCATCAAGATTATGACTGTTTCTTTATTGAAAAATCCAGAATAAAGTCTCAAAGCTCATCTTCACATGGTTTACCATTGGCATTTAACCCAGTTAATCACGCCCTTCTTCAAATGCTTTCTTTCCAGTTTCCATGACACTGAACCTTCCTGTTTTCTTCCTATCTTGCAGATAGCCCTTTTTGGTCTTTTTATTAATTCTTTACAATCTCCCTGAATTATAAAATGCAGATACTTTAAACTTTAAAGTTCTGTCTTGGATTTCTTTACTGCATGATCACTCAATTCAGTATTATATTGCCTTAAACACTAGCCTTCGGCTGTCATGTGTCACACTTTTATATGAAGCTTTAAACTCTTTCTAGACTTCAGACTCACACCATCACTGGCTAATCAATAATTCTGCATGCTTGTCTCAAACTTATCATGGGCTAGATAGAATTCTGGAATCCTATGTGACATTTTGGCTTTGTTTCATAGTCCAGGATGTAAAGCTCTACATGTCCTTTTTTCCCATGCCAAAATATTTTCAGCTATTAGACATATCCCCTATTTTTTTCTGTACTCCTTGTCTAATCTAGCAATAAACCCTCTTTTGTTCTACATTTTTATTGTTTTTACTTCCAGGCATCTGCTTTTGGCTGCCATCACATCTTGCCTGGATTATCACAATATACCCAACAGAGTATTTTTGTAGTGCTCTGCTTATACCTAATGTGTATGGGGGAGGGGCATGTTTATTTTGGCTCAGAGCTTCTGAAGTCAATTAAGTGGAACTCATGGCATTATTTATTATTTATTTACAGTGGGAATGTAATATATATGTCGTGGCACATGTCTGGAAGTCAGAGAATATTTGAGTCCTGCAGATTGAATTCAAGTTCTCAGTCTTGGTGACAAGCACCTTTAACCTCTGTACCATATCACTAGCCCCTATTTATGATCTTCACCTCATGTGTTCAGTTATTGCTCTATAGGCCTGTATAAAGCTATATTTGTGTAGTGTCTGGCAAGGTTAAATAGGGAGGTAAGGAAGCACGGAATGGTGAGGGAAAGCACTGTTGATGAGAGTGGATTGCCTTTTGGTATACTTGAAGGTGGAAGGTGTGAAGGTGTGAAGACTGTGACAGAAGGAAGACTCTTGGTCAGAGGAGGCTTTACCTATATGTGATGTCTAATGCTTGAGTATCTTTATGTGTCTCTACCCAGGAACTGAGAGGAGGATTTAAAGCTGTTAACCCCAGCACCAGAGACACAAATGAACCCATAATTTGGGAGACATAGTTAGAGTTTGAATGTTTAAACAACCAATTGTTTGCAGTCACTCTTGTTTCCTTAACTGTGTGGTTTTTCACCACGTAATCCATCTTATGTACAATGTCTTTTTAGTATCTTTGTTCTCTCTTTCGTAGCACCTTTACTGATACATGCTGATACATGCATGATGTGACATAGCTTCTGAATTACATTGCTGCCAAGATCACTGGTTTCTCTACCTAAATTTCTGTCCTCCTTTGAGGTTCTTTTCTTTAGGATGACAGTCTCACTCTGTAGCCTGATCTGAAAGTTGAAATGTAACTCAGGATGGTCTCAAACCCAAGCATCTCAAATGCTGCGATTACTGATGTGACATACCATGCCCAGCTTCTCTTAGTTTTTTCAACTTACTTATTTCTGTGGCATTTGTCCCAGAGAGTGAGATGTTGCCAAACTTCAGTATCATGCACATCATCTTCAGAATTAAAAATAAAACCATCTATAAGTCCAACAAGTCCATTATATAATTAACAACTTTATGCCAATTGAATAGCAATAAAACTAAACATTTAAGGTGGAAACTAGTTCCACTTTATAAAAGTGGAAGATCATAGTCAAAAAAAAGGTAGACAAAAAGGGTGTATTTAAACTTGATGCTGTGAATATAAGGCCTCATTTTTATTGTTGTAGTTAGAACTGTAGAAGTGTTTCAGAATCCCACAATTAAGACAATGTTCTGCTGTCAAACTGAGATTTTACTCTCCTTTCACCAAAAGGAAGAAGGTAGAATGAAAGTCTCTGGTATCATACTTGGAAATAGGACGTCAATGTTTATGTGCAGGGATTTTTTTTTATTTTAAAATAATTTTAATTACACATTTTTATTCTTTGAGAATTTCATACAAATGATCTTGATTACATTAACCCCCATTCTTCTTCTTAATGCCTATGAGATCCACTCCTTCCTTTTTTCTCCCCCACTTCATGCCTTTTTTGTTTTTGAAAATATTCTATCTTGAAGCAGATATCCGGATCCTCTGGTTCTTATAATCCTTCTACCTCTGCTTCCTTGTTTCCTGAGCCTTAAGTATAAGAATTGTGTTGTAAATATATTAACTTGGGACATATACCCATGGTCAGTTGATCTGTGCATTTTGACAAGTTGTGGGTTTTTGTGATGATCTCTGTGGTAAAAAGTTTCTTTGATGATGGGTGGAGCTACATTTATCTAGGGATATAAGAATAAGTATTTATAATGCAGTTATAAATTGTTCTGGTTTAATGAGGAGGCAACAGGAGGTTCTCCTTTAGAGTCTGTAGTCTCACAAATGAAGGGTAGTTGGCTAGGTTTACAGTACCAAGTAATACTTCCTCCTATTGAGTGGACCTTAATTCCAGTTCTGGATCTTGGTTAACCCTGAGATGTAAGTGCCACTATATTTTTAAAAAAAAAATTTTTGTAGTTTGGGGAATAGAAAACCCCAGGTTTTATGCCCAAGGTAAACACGCTACAACCGAGCCTGAGACATCCCAGCCTCAGAAGGTTTCTTAGTTCTGGTGGACATGATAGGATTTAATCTGCCTCAAGAGATTCATTTGGCTGCATCTTTCTACAAATCATTTTTTCTTCAGATGATCATCTTCTTTTAAGTCCATCATATCCCTGTGTCTTATAATTACCTTCAACTGTCAACTTGGCACAGACTAGACTCACCCAAAAGAGGAGTCTCAACTGAGGGACTTCCTAGATAAGACTGGCCTGTGGGGCACATCTGTGAGGGATTATCTTGATTACCTTAATTGATATAGGAGGGCAGATCCCACTGTGTGCAGCACCTAGGCAGGTAGTCCTGGGCTATAAAAGGAAAGCTATCCAAGCATGAGGCAGTGACTGAGCATGTCAGCAAGCCATATTTATGGTTTATGCCTTCAAGTTCTTGCTTGAGTTCTTGTCCTAACTTTCCTCATATGGACTGTGACCTAAAAGTAAAAGCCAAATGAACCCTTTCTTCCCCTAGGTTGTTTTGCTCAGAAAACAAGAACAGCCTGAATCCTTTGGGAAATCTTTACTGGCTCCTTCCTGATTGTTTTACCCAGCTCAAAGTTTTTACCTGGATAGACATTTAATGTATCACTTATGGCATTTGGATTTCCTATATTTGTAGCAGTGTATTAAGGAGACATACCATAGTATCATCCTTTAAAAAATGTGTCATCAAAGCTGGGTATGGTGGTATACACCTCTACCACTACTTGAACCCAGGAATTTCAGATTGGCTTGGACAATATCTTTCAATTTGTGTTGGTCATCAGTATATCTTCTTGGGAGAAATGTTCATTTAATTATTTTACTCATTTTAAAATTAGGCTCTTTCATCCTAGCCATTCTGATGGGTATAAGGTGAAATCTCACGGTCATTTTGATTCACATTTCCCTGATGACTAAGGACATTGAACATTTCTTTGTGTGTTTCTTCCCCATTTGATATTCCTCTATTGAGAATTCTCTGTTTAGCTCTGTACCCCATTTTTTAATTGGATTATTTGATTTGTTGCTATTTAACTTCTTGAGTTCTTTATATATATATACTGGATATTAGTGCTCTGTCAGATATAGGGTTGGTGAAGATCTTTCCCCAATCTGTAGGCAGTCATTTGGTTTTGACAACAGTGTCCTTTGCTTTACAGAAACTTCAGTTTCATGAGGTCCCATTTATTGATTGTTGATCTTAGAGCCTGTGCTGTTGGTGTTCTGTTCAGGAAGTTGTCTCCTGTGCCAATGAGTTCCAGACTCTTCCCCACATTTTTTTCTAATAGGTTTAGTGTGTCTGGTTTTATATTGCAGTCTTTGATCCACTTGGACTTTAGTTTTGTGCCGGGTGATAAGTATTGATAAGATCTGGAGAGGACAGGAACTCCACAAGGAGAGCAACAGATCCAAAAAGTCTGGGCACAGACTGGTCTTTTACTCCAGCCAGGGACCACTCATGGAGATGGCCTGGAACCCCTGCACAGAGGTAGCCCATGGCATTGTCCAAGTGCATTCATAGTGATGGAGACAGGGACTGTCTCAGACATGAACTCAGTGGCTGGCTCTTTGCTCACCTCCCCCTGAAGGGAGAGCAGCCTTACCAGGCCACAGAGGAAGACAATGCAGCCATTCCTGATGAGACCTGATCAACTAGGATCAGAGAGAAGGGGAGGAGGACCTCCCTTATCAGTGGACTGGGGGAGGGGCACACGTGAGGAAGAGGGAGAGAGAGTGGGATTGAGAGGGGAGGAGGGAAGGATACAAAGTGAATAAACTGTAATTAATAAAATAAAATTAGGTTCTTACACTTTTTGCTGATTTGTGAAAGTTCTTCATTTATTTTGGGTTCTAGACACCTTATATGACTTCCAAATATTTTCTCCTATTCTTTTGACTTTATCACTCCCTTGATACTATAGTTTAATGCGTCTGCGCTATTGATTTTGATAAAATGCAATTTATTTTTCCCTTGTTGCTTTTTCTTTTGATGTTTTTAAAAAGCTATTGCTAAATCTAAGTCTATGAATGCCTTCTAGTCAATGACTGAAAACTGAGATGTGCCCACAGTCATATTCCTGGAGTCTACATAACTCAGCACAAAGTAGATGTGCACATGATGTTTGTGGGAGAGATGACAATGTAGTAGGGCATTAGTTGATTCTTGAGGAAAGCAGGTTTTATGTAGAACCTAACCAGGGCCATGATTCTGAATGGGCCTAAAGGTGGCCCTTGAGGTTTATAAAACTTTTTATAAAATATGTTTTTTGAAGTTTATAAAACATAGATCATGATCTGACCAAAGGGAAGATACATACACATTGTGAAGTTCTGTGGGTCAGTGAAGTCTTCCAACAATGGCAAGGGGTTTTGATTGTGGAAACTAGGATCTATGCAGGATACTTATAAATCATTGGGAAAGCTCTTCAGGGGATGGGAGGCTGACTATGATTTACTCTTTATAGTATAGTACTATGAATAGATCCTGGTTTATTGACTATTCATGCAGCTTGCTGAAGGAATCTATTAAGGTTTTCCATATTATGAACCTTCTTGGATATTCTACTCTAATGCAATTTCCTTTCAACCTTGAACTTGGCTTGTTTTTTTGGGGGGGAGGGGGAGGGAGCTATTTTCACACTCAGAACTGTCAGTTCCTTTATTGTACTTCTCATTGTCTTGCTGGGAATATTGTCATGTCTCCTCTCTGCCTAATTTATCCCTTCCTTGAAGCCCAGAGCAGTAGCCAGTTATCTGTGAAACCTCAATCCTATTACCTCAGCGCAACCATATTCAGCTGTGGCTAGACAAAGTTACCAGAGCATAATGCCATATGAATGTAAACTCAGGTGCTGGCATCATGTCACTATGCCACTTGGAGTATATTAATGTATTGCTTTCCTCCAAAGAACATGACAGCAATGAGACTGATTTAATAGTTTTTATACAGTGTAGTGGGACAGTAATATACAGTAAAATCTTAATAAATGGTCCAGCTTATAGGCTCAAAAATGTCAACTGTACTGTTTTCTTTTTGTTTTTTTTTCTATGTCTAAATCTTGTTTTATCAATAAGACTGAGTTTCTTCAAGAAAATAACTGAGTCCTTGGCTTATTCTAACTCTTATGTCTGACACAAAACAAGTACTATAGAAAATCTTAAACATTTGCTGGAGTGTTGCTTTCCTGAATTCCTAGATACCCAGGAATTTGAGAAAAAAAGATTACTAATTTGATACATTGTGGGTAACATTTTGCCTAAGAATAAAAACAAAACATAACAACAACAACAAAAAAACCTCTCTCCACATAAAAGCTAAACAAAACAAAAAACCCAATGTGTTGGTTTGCGGTGTTCATGGTAATTTGAAATTAATTGCTTGACTCTTTGGTTGGTGACTTGGGACTGACTTGCAGTAACCTGGTTGTGAGTATAAATGTGTTGTGATGGGGGGAGGTATAACAGAGGTGTTGACAAATTATTTTCTAAAGAACAGAACAAGGCTACATACATATTTAACAATCTGAATCATTATTGCTCATGGGTTTCCTTCCCCAGCCTCAGAGCAGAGATATTACTTGCCCTTGGCAGCTGTCATGGTCCTTGGCTCCCCTTGTAAAACTGCCAAGGCCCTTCTAAATTCTTCCAAGTTGTCTGCATCATAAGAGAAATGAGGTTCTTTTGACTCCTGTCTACTTCCAAGATGAAGGCCAGGAACTCACATGGGGCTTTAATAAATTGTATTTGAAATCTTTACTGTTTATATAAACTCATATTTCATGTGGTCATTTATTTTGCATCATATATAATTGCATTGCATATTATCGTGGGTATAATATAATTGTGAATTTTATGCTTAACATTTCTATGGATATACTAGCCATAGCTAATGCTATATTTTTTAGCATTTTGAAGTGTTGACATATGTGGAATTACCACTTTTTAAATGTCCTTGTTATAGAACTCTGCCCTCTGGTCATAATATTGGCATTTTTGTCTTGAAATTGGAGAGACAGTGATTACCAGCACAGACCTTCAGAATATCATGTCATCTTAAAAGGGTGCAGGATAGGATAAGAGACCTTCACCTGAGATTCCAACTACTCATGCCTTTCCACTCCCCACCTGTGCATGTAATTCTGCCCCAGCCTTTTGTGGTCTTGGAAAGTGCTAAGAGTATTGGATGCTTAGAAATGTAAGGCTGACCATGGAAAGGACTCTAATCTAGTGACACAGCTTCCATGAATCATCACTCACATCAGGGTGGTGCTTTTTCGAGATGCAACTGCTCAGGACTCACTATGCTCTTATACATAACCCCAAACAAACTCATTGGTTCATCAAGTTGGACTTAGATGGACTCCTTTCTTTGGTCTGTAAGTGCCCGCTCCAGGAAAATAGATGTTTCTATGCATTTTCTCAGGAAAGATCACCCAACTGACCTTCATTACATTCCAGTTTGGGGAAGGGGTGATACATTTTGACACTTGACTGTGTAAGTACATGTTATTGAAGACTTTTTAACATAAAGAAAAACACACTGAAGTTATCTTTTCTGCAGCTAACAGGCATTGAAATTGTTGCCATTTATGATTCTTATAAACATTGAAAGGCCTCTTGTGTACAGCCCCTTGGCTTAGAGGGGTCTCTTAGAGGCTTTGCTAGGCCATAGAACATAAACACTTTTCACCTTGGTTGAGGTTGCTACCTCTGTGTTTCCTCTGGTTGTCTTTGACTTTGCCAGCATCTACATAGGTGGATTGTCTGGCCTTCATCTATGACAGCTTCTGGCATTACTTGTGCCTTCTCTCTGTCAAGATCACCAAAAATCAGTGGGAGGCAAGGTCTCACAGTTAGGAGAATGTCAGTTGTGAAGAATTTTTCTCTATATTAATGTTGATGAGGACAAAATTTGGTTTTCTGCTTTGGTGAATGTAGTACTTAGGCTTCTGTGAAAACCAGTGGCTTTCTTCTCTGAAATCATTTTTTTTTTCTGCTTTGCATGTTTTTTGAAAATATTTAAAACAAACAAAGTAGCAAGCCAGTGTTCTAAAAGTTTACTTGCAGTAATAATTATTCTGAAATATTGTAAAATAATACAGAATATTAGCTTTATTCTTATTGCTTTTCAAAGTTTTAAATTAGTTAAAAATAAACTGAATTTGAAATGTGATACAACTTTATGAATAGAGATTTCTTACAGTTACTTGACACTTCACATGCATTTTGTGATGGAAGGAATAAACAGGGGAAATGTATTTATATAAGAAAAATCAGAACGAGTAACTTTTGCCATTTATTCATTCATTCATTCATTTATTTATTTATTTATTTATTTATTTATTTATTTATTTATTTATTTATTTATTTATTATCTCTTTTACTCACAGGCTGGAAAGGAGAAGTTCCATAAATCCCAACATTGGGGCTTTTGCAACAATGTCAGGATGCTTCTGAGTGAAGAGAAGCCTGGAATAGGTGGAGAGCTGCTACCTGGGCAAAAGATAAAGCCGAAACACACTGTGTATCCCAAAGGAGATGGAGACGATGCACCATCTTGGGTGGCTTTTGATAAGCAGGTAAGTTGCATGGCATTGGGGAAACATTCAAATTTCAAGTTTCACATGTAGATGAGAGAAAATAAGCATATTTAATATGTATATCAAGTTCTTTTTTATTTTGCCTTTATACATATTGCCTTTGTGCATAATATTTCTCCCGTTTTTTTCTAAGTTAACAAATAAACACGTGTGCAGTTGGTCTTCTGTGTCTGCAGGATCCACAGATATGGACTCAACCAACTTGCAATCCAAATTATTTGGAATGGGATATATCTGTGCTGAGTATATATGGACTTTTTATTCTCATTCTCAAAACAATTTCCTTTAACAACTATTTACATAGCACTACATTGTACTAGGTATCCAAGATAAGTTTGAATATAAGAGGCTGTGTGGAGGTTTTAAGAAAACATTACACTATTTATGTAATGGACTTCAACATCCTTTTTTTTTTTTATCTCTGGAACAAATTTCCTGCAGATTCCAAGGGATGACTATATATTTTGGCAGTACAACATGTGTTTTTTTTTTTTTTTCCTATTTGTTTTGTTTTTAAAGACAGGTTATCAGTATATAGTTCTGACTGGCCTAAAACCAAACATATAGACTAGGTTGGTCTCAAATACCATATAGGCCAGGTTGGCCTGCTTCTGCTTCTAAAGTCCTGAATCAGAGGTGTGAGTCTCCATGTCCAGCTAAGAATGCTTAAAATCTATTCTTGTGGTAAGTATGTAATACATTACTATTACCTATAGTCACTGTGCTATGTGTTACATCTCTGGAACTTATTCTTTCCATCCAACTTTAATTTTTTTATCTTTTAACCAAGGCTACTTCTTGCCTATCTTTAGACATAAATAAATAAATAAATAAATAAATAAATAAATAAATAAATAGATAGATAGATAGATAGATAAATAAATAAATATTATAAAGACAAATTCAAGAGCAAACCTACCCTTTCTGACAAGGTGCTTTTATTATAGAGTAATAATGGTTATTAGTTTCCAAGTAATGTTTATCAACTTTTATCTCATCTCTTTCTCTGGACAGGAGTAGTTAAGAGTCAGATCATTGTGTCTCTTTTGCTATTAACAATGTATGTTCTAAATATGGCATTCAGTAGGAATTTTAAAAAGTGCTTTCTTTGTTGCACAGTAAATGTTCTTATCATGAATATGGCCAAGGCTGGTCTGGTCTTGTACTCCTGATCCTTATGTCTCTGTCTTCTGAGTGATGAGATTACATATGTGGACCATTACACCTGGCTTATGAATTTTTAAAATATATGTTTGCAAAGAATACACACAGGGATACATCCAAGAGTAAAAAGGGGGAATGCAATGTTATGTCTTTTTTTTTGTATTTTTTCTCTCTCTCACTCTAATGCTGAGGATTGAACCCAGATCTCAAACTTGTTAGGCAAGCACTCTGCCATTGGTTACATTCCCAGACTTTTCGTATCTACAGCAGAGACAAAGATCAAAAGAAAGAAACCCAGGGCAAACAGTCATTTTCTGTAGTGTAGCATATAGATTTTCAAAAATTACAATGATCCTGATCATGCTTTGGTCTCGAAAAAGAACCTGTTATATTATTTGGGGCCCTCCCGTAAGTTGAAAAGAATTCAGGACTAGATAAAGAATTAATATCACAGCAGTTCTCAAGCAGAGTGTCTTCCACCACCGGGCCTTTACCATGAGTGTCCTGGCCTTCATCAACATCAGTGAGGAAGACCAGGTGCAGCTGAACTTCATGCTTATCTGAAATCAAAAGGAGATGAGATCTCAGAAAAGATTTAGCTAAGATTATTGAAGCCTGTGATGTGTGTCTGAAGGAAGAGGACAAAGATGTTGAAAGTGTGATGAACAGTGTGGTATCCGTTCTGTTGATCTTAGAACCAGACAAGCAAGAAGCATTGATCAAAAGTCTGTGTGAACAGTTGGTCAAGTTTTGGGAAGGCAATAGCCCATCTCTGAGACTGCAGTTGCTCAGCAACTTTTCTATGGGATTGACAAGAACACTTGTGTAAGGTTCACAGTTACTGCAGACTCTTCAGAGTGAAATTGCTCAGGAGTTATACAGAAGACAGTGCTTCCTAGGTGTGAGTAGATGCCCACAGGTGTATTGTGCAGTCACTGAAGGATCCACATACCGCCCCCTCTTTTTTGAACATTTTCTTACTCTAAAGCCAATCAAGTTTTTGGAATGTGAGCTTACCCATGATTTATTAACCATTTTTGTGAGTGATAAATTACCATTATATCTCAAGTTCTATCAGAATAATAAAGACTTCATAAATTCACTTGGCCTATTACATGATCAAAATACGGTGAAAATGAGACTCCTCACTTTTATGGAAATGGTAGTGGAAAACAAAGATTTCTTTTGATACCATGCAGCAAGAGCTACAGAGTGGAGCTGATGATATTGAAGTGTTTGTTATTGATGTGGTAGCAATTGCTCAGACCCGAAGAAAAGTAGTTGTCAGTCACAACACACATTGGATATTTGGAAAACAGAGGTGGCAACACCTGTACAACACTCTTAATGCCTGGAAACAAAACTTGATCAAAGTGAAAATTAGCCTTTTGAATTTTTTGGATACCTGAATTTTTATGCAAATGATTTTGTTCTTTAAGGAAAAAAAAAGTTCTAAGTCATAGTAAACAACAAACAAAAGATATCACCACCAACAAAAAGAATTCAAATCACAATATGTTCAATTTATCAAGTGACTGTATTTTTTAATAGGTTTTAATATGGTTCGGTTGGCAACACTTTGATTCTATTCAAAATGTCCTGAAATATGGTAGAAGTGACACATCCCCAATGTGATATGGCATATCAGTTAAAGTACATATTATTTGAAGCCCACTTCTGATACTTATAAGATATCTAACAGACCACAGCAAGGCTTCTTCCCTGGGAAAGCAGCTTGATTTTCAACCTGGGCTAATATTTCTTTAATTTTTTTTTATGTCTGGTTTTGTTTTCAACATAGAGCTCAAAAACAATTTCTGGGCTGACTGACAGCAGTTGTGCATGGTTTCCTGTAATTCTGAATCTTATAGAATATATAATTGGCAAAAGCCAAAGAAAAGATTCTGTTTTTACTTCTTAAGTCAAAGAGAGGTTATTGGGAAGGTTGTGAGCTACCCAGCAGATCCTAGCTAATACCCAGAGCAATCATAAAGTGCTTCCTCCATTAGTGGCTCACCAAAACAAGTCAACACCTGTTAATCATTTGTTTTCTTAAAATGAAACCTTTTCAACTTATTGTCAGTTTTCCTAATAACCCTCTTAATCCCAGGGTTATATGTAAGGTTATATTTTCAAGTAACACAAAGTACAAGTGAAGTCAATTCTTTGGAGACCATATTCAAACAAGTATCTGTAAGTAGATGTTATTAATGTCAACCCAGATCTATATTAGGGGGTGTGTTTCTATTCCCTAGCTACAATGACTGCATTCCTAAGCAGCCCACACTTGGAATCCTATCTGGAGCCTTGGCTGATAGAAGTTGAAGCACCCAGACACACCCCAGCCCTTCTCTAAAAGCTGACAAGATTAATTAAAGCCAAATAAAGCTGGTTCATTGCCTCAAGGTGAGATACTCTATGCAGTATCCAGGCTCCCTTGTGCATCAGTGTTCAAGCTGGTCTGTGAATGCAGCTTGCCTGGCCCATTTCCCCTTCCTTTGGTGCTTTTTGTCCCTTCCTTATAATTTTTTTTCAAGATCAGGCACATGTGTGTAAACCTCTGTCTTAGGCTCCACTTTTGTCAGTCCCAACCTAGCATAATATAATAATAATGCAGTTCGTATCTGTGATTCTAAAAGTGACCATCAACATACTCTGGTTAGATAGACTATCACCTGATCAACAAAGTTCTATTTGCAGTGGCCTAAAAGAGCCAGTATGTATTTATCCTTCATGCTCCCTGCTGTGAACACATAATGACAGCCACCCTTCTTTCATTTGCACTTTTTTCATTTTGTTTTTACAGGTGGACTACCAGTTTATTAGGTTGGAAATGGGACTATTTAATACTGTTTACCTTCCAAGTTCTTGTAGCTATGGCTGCATATGCAATTCATTTCCAGTCAGTGATACATATGCCTTCCTGCTGATGACATCTATGTTAAGCTTTATTGGGTAGGCTCCTGAGAGAGTCGTTTTTCTTTTTTATTTTTATTTTTATTTTTATTTTTCAGTTACATTTTATTATCTCTGTACCCCAGCCGGTGTCCCGATCCCTCATTCCCTCCCAGTCCCTCCCTCATCTCCACCATGCCCCTTGCCAAGTCCACTGATAGGGGGGACCTCCTCCCCATTCATCTGATCCTGTTTAACAGGTATCTTCAGGACTGGCTGCAAAGCTCTCCTCTGTGGCCTAACAGGACTGCTCCTCCCTTGGGGGGTGGGGAGGCCAAAGTCGTTTTTCTAATGAGAAGAGTCAGACTCAGCTGGTGTGATTTTTTTTTCTCCTCTGTAATTAGTAATTCTTCAGCTCTGGAAGCTATACTTTGAGTACTGTCGAGATAACTGGATACTACATACCTTTTTGCACTATAGAGATACCTCCTCAGGCCTGGACTGACTTTCTGTAGGCTTCTTATATGAGAAAAGCAGCCCCTAGTTCAGAAGTTCTCAACCTACAGGCCTTTGAAAATGTGTAGAGGTGTTCCAGTTTGCCACAAAGTTTAGGAAGTAAGATTGTACTAGGACTAGGTGAGAGATAAGGTGAGATGTGGGCTCTCCATTTAAGGGGAGCCCCAAATTTAGCAATCTTTCTTGATAATATTTATTATAATGTATTTAAAAGTTAGTGCAAAAAATGTCATGATTAACACAGTAACATTTTAAACAATGGTAAGATCAATAATTGTGTGTGTGATCCACGTGGAGCCTGAGGTAAAATGCTTAGCAGTATTGATGCCTCCCTAGCACCATCTTTAGCATTTTGATATTTTGTTGATCAGGGATTTTTTTAAAATTAATTTTGATGTTATAAA